TTAAACTGTAATTCGTCAACTGGCCGCTAGAGGCTGGCTGCAAAAGGGAGTCAATCCCATAGACTCCCCATGTTAAAATGCCTAACTTTACGGCAGAAAAAAACATGTTTACAGCCTGGTTCAAAAAATGATTTTGGTTTATATAGCTAATTTTGCCCTTCATGACAACTGTGAGGGGGGTGAATTTTTTTATAACTCATCCGTTTAAATTATATTAAGCCTTAAAGTTCTGCATAATTAAGGGCGTGGCCACTTGAGTGACTGGTGGATTGCTGCTGCTGTCACCACCGTCGAGCTAGGTGGGCGTGGTTTCAACAACCAGCTCCCGCCTCTTTGCCCATCTTCGATTATCCGGGAGTGATGCGCTGCCAAGATGGCGACGACTGGCTCCGCCCACTTTTGAGCTTCAAAAACGCTCTTCGGAACCCTAAGGGTGACGTCACGGACACTACGTCCATGTTTTTATACAGTCTAACCTGTGTTTTCTTCACAAACCACCCACAATCCAGTTCACCCAGGTGCCAAATGTGCTGAAACAGCAATGTGCTGTGGGGATTTACAGTAAATTACATTTCTGTCATTCCTTTCATCATAAACACACCTCCTTTATATGTAAATTAGATTAATTATAGATTGCCTCTTGTTCAAAAAAGGCATTGTACTGTTCATATAAAGGATCATATAAAAGAAAAAAGATTGTCAGTTGCATTGTGATTTTCTTTTCAATGATTCTAGATGTTTTGAAGCTTTATTTAATTAGTTGACAATTACCTAACATTCAATTGTTTTCATTTATTGGTCATTTGTATTTGTTTTAAAAAGTACTTAGAATTAAGGCATTAAACGTATAAATTAAATATAACTTAAATAAAATGAAAAGATCAAGAATAATTTCGACTAAAATCACAAATCATTTTGGAATTGAATCATGACTCTCATGAATCGTGAGGTTCCTAAATATTCACACCCCTAGTAAAAGACATTTTTGACTGATCACGGCAGGAATTATTCATCAAATGATGATAAAATGAAGGAAAACAGATAGATATTGTTGGTGAATTCGCCCCTTAATATACCAAACTTCTTTAATAAATATCTCTGGATATTTGTCATGCCAATACACACCCATTTTGACTTTTTTATTCTGCTGATGTAACCAAGGAAGCCCAGGCAGTGAATAATAGTATTGATCAATAAACTCACGTAGCACGTCCACTGTCCACAATCCAGTCAAGTGGACAAAATTAACAAGCACCGTATATTATTTTCCCTTTCCTTTTCAGAAATACTCAACTTTAAAAAAAAAAAAAAAACCTGGCAGACTTCAGGAGACATCCTCACCTGTTCATCATGCGGTCTGTGTCCAGGAGCTTGAGGATGGACTTGCCGTCCATGTCTGGGGGAACGTCCATCCCTGCGATGTCCAGGATGGTGGGCGCCAAGTCTATGTTCAACACGATGTGGGGGTTGCTATGGAAACAGAAGAGGGGGGTCGCCATTTGACATAATGGTCAGAAACCAGACTAGCAGCACGTGAACACTGAATGATAATAAGATACAGACGGTGAGAGAAATAGAGATCCAGGACTTTCTCTAAATAGAATACAGCTGTACTCCTACTAAATATAGAATTGTCTTAAACGTAGTATGCAATATACTTTTGTAATGTGTATCTGAAATGTTATCATTCACTGAGGCGGTGTGCAGTGACAGGTGGGCAGATTTCCTCATTTCTACAAGTGTACATATATCGATGTTCCCTATGCCATTTGCCATTGCCTTGTCTTTCAGATTTGGGGTGTCATTGGGCAATCAGATGCACACTGAGTGTCCATGAGCAAAGATGGCAGCATGCAGGTCACATACTTGCAGGGCTACAAGTGCCATCTGAGCAACTGTCATTGTGATAAATGTGAACGCTAACGCAGTAGTTTTCAAACCTTTTGACTGTCCAAAGACAATATTGCGAGATATTTTCAAGTGCTTCTGCTGTAATGACAAAGCTGCTTGTTTTGATTAAAATAATGATAAAATAATTCAAATAATTGTATTCAGATTATATTACATTAGAAGAAAATTATATAAAATAATTATAATTATGTCAAATAAAATGTCAAATTTACTTACATGAATGAAGCAATCAATGAATGAATGAACTAAATAAATAGATTAACTGTAATGAAATGAATTAAAATATAAACTATTAGATGAAAAATGTAAACAAATATCTGAAATGTTTACCTAGGCAACTAACTGAAAATAAATGTAAGTACTAAAATTACAAAAACTAAAGCTGAAATAAAAATAGACTATTTAATTTTTTTTACAGTATTAAAAAATATAAAAAATAAACGAATAATTTACTTATCTTATTAACTTTAGAAGAAAATTATATAAAATAATTATAATGATGTAAAATAATATCAAATAATTCAATTCTATAATTTCAGAAGATTCAAGAACTGAATGTTCTTCAGAGTTTGATTTTTGGGGTAATTTCTACCCCCCCCAAATTAAAATAAATAATAATGTGAATATTTTGTAATAGTTTTTATTTTATATTATATTCTTCTTTTTCTGAAAATTGTTTTGATTTTTTCTTTTTTTTCAAAGTATTTTTCATTTTTGTAAAGCTCTTTGAGATGCAACTTTTAAAGGCCCTATAAAAAGTAAAGTTTATTATTATTATTATTATCATCATCATCTTTTTAGCTGTTTTAGTTTATTTTAAAGCTTGTTTTGTCCTATTTTAAATCATCTTGTGGCCCCCTTGTAAGTGTGCTGAGGCCCCTGGTTGAGAAGAACTGAGCTAACAGAGAGTTCTATTATAAACCTCTTTGCCTGATATATTAAACATTCACCTTCTGATGCTGAAGAACACATCAAACCCCTCAACGTGCCTAACTGTGGCTGTTCATTTTGATTAAAAAATGATTAAAAACTGATGAGTGTCAATTTTAACTGACCATTTCAAATCCTGTGAAGTCAGTGGACTGGAACTCAGTGGAGATTAATCCGATCACATCCGCTCAGTTTTCAAAAAGTAAATTAGGCTCATCTCTCTCTCTCTCTCTCTCTCTCGCTCTCTTTTTATTGCCTGAAGGCTCATCTGACGTTGAACTGGCCCCAGCTGTGCCTTTCTCACCCTGAGTCTCCAGCCAAACTCTTTATCCTCTTTTCTGTGCCTTTCATTCACAGTAAAAAGTCTTGTGGTCTTCACATGAGTGGTCTTTACTGCTGTTAATCAGCTTTTCTGAGAAAGAGAGAAGCCAGATCACACAGCAGTGGTAAACCAGACTAGTGACTAATGATATTAAATGCTGATGAGAGAAAGAGAAAGCTCTGGTCTGGTGCTCCGGTGGGGATGCAGGTTCAAATATGGCCTGCAACATGTGCTGATTTCATTTTCTCTCTCTTTGGACATTGGACATTGGAAAGTCATTAAAACCCCATAAATCAAGTTTAGACCTCATTTAAGAGTAACTTTGGCCTCTGTACAAAAACCATTACCATAACAAAGATGAATTACTATAGACATAAATGTTATATTAAATTATCTAATTATATATGATACTAAATATATACTTTTTTGGGAAATAATATTTTAAGAGCTTTAATTTTGAGACATTATATTATATAAAAATTTTGTATTTATATAAATAAATATATGAATAAATATAAATATAGACTTATTATGGTACTACCATCTAAAACCACTATGCTTTTTTGAGGGTTGTCTTTGGCTCGTCTCTTGAATGGCGTCATGGGATACACACTCACATGCCTCCTGCCTCCACATTTGGGCCGCGGATGTAAAAGGGAACTCTGATGTCAAACTCGTAGGGCATGGATTTCCCCTTGACCAGGCCGAACTGACCGATGTGGTATCCGTGGTCAGCCGTGTAGATCACAAATGTGTTGTCCAGCTCCCCAGTGTCCACCAACATGTTGTATATCTGCATTCAGACAGAAGAAACATAACAATGGCAGAATAAATTATAAGGAACAACAGCCTTTTTGTGGTTGCGGTCAAACAACAATTCTGGAGAAAAACCAGACAAAAGCATCATGGGACTTTTTAGTGTGAATCCAAGAGAATTTGAATGTTATATGTGCCGCCATGGCTTGATGAAATTTCATTTTCTTGAGCAAGAACTGTACATTTACTTACATGAATGGATGGATGAATGGATGGATGAATGAATGAATGAATGAATGGGTGGATGGATGGATGAATGGATGGATGGATGGATGAATGAATGGATGAATGGATGAATGAATGAATGAATGGATATATGGATGAATGGATGGATGGATGAATGGGTGAATGAATGAATGAATGAATGAATGGATATATGGATGAATGGATGGATGGATGAATGGGTGAATGAATGAATGAATGAATGAATGGATATATGGATGAATGGATGGATGGATGGATGCATGAATGAATGAATGAATGGATGGATGGATGGATGAATGAATGAATGGATGAATGAATGGATGAATGAATGAATGAATGGATGGATGGATGGATGAATGAATGGATGAATGAATGAATGAATGAATGGATGGATGAATGGAAGAATGGATGGATGAATGAATGGATGGATGAATGGAAGAATGGATGGATGAATGGATGGATGAATGAATGAATGGATGGATGAATGGAAGAATGGATGGATGAATGAATGGATGAATGGATGGATGAATGAATGAATGGATGAATGGATGGATGAATGAATGAATGAATGAATGAATGAATTAATTAATGAATTAATGTGAAATGGACCACTGCACTCAGTGTTACTGTTCACTAAAACAATTAAAAATAATTTTGTTAATTGAAATTAAGCTGAAATAAAATATAAAATATTAGATGAAAAACTAAAACGAAAATATTGCCTAGGCAACTAACTGAAATAAAATAAAGTACTGAAATTATAAAAAAAAATTAATAAAAATAGACAATTAAAAATAAATAAATTACAGTATTTAAAAAATATATATTTTAAAAAGACAAAAACAATAAAATAATAAAATGATAAAAACACAAAAAACAACTAAAACTTTAAACTGAAAATATTAAAATAAAAGCTTATTCAGAACATTAATACTGTAAATACCATAACAAAACTAAAATACTAAAACATCAATGATTGCAATATCACGTACCGTAGTACTTTAGTATTGTTTAAAGTGCCTTAAAGTGTTAGAAAATGTAGAAAAGTGTTAGAATTATTCAGAACCATGGAATATATGGAGTAAAGGTAGGAAATGTCTTAGGAACATGATTCATACATCAAAATAAAAAATAAAATTAAAATATAAAAATATAAAATTAAAAAAATATTGGCATTTTGGCAAATATTTGCATAACAGGTATAACTGATGTACCTTCTCCACACTATCATCCACGGACAGCAGGGTTTGCAGTCTCTTGCGCTGCAGCATGTTGGTGAACTCCATGTGAATGGGCTTCATGGGGCCGGTGTAGCGCATAATCCAGTGTTTGTCTGGATTAGGGGCGTAGTTATAACTGGGTGTTCTGAATGGAGAAGAAAAGAGTCACTGTCAGTGGACCTGCTGAAGCATAACTGAGGGAAATCGAGAGAGTTTTCAGAGCATCTCGAGACACTGTTTGTCGACTCTGTTCTGCTGATGTTGGAGGAAAGCACGCAGACAGATTTTGACAGCTGGGATGTGTCTGCATGAATGTGTGAAGGTGAGTCTGTGTGTGTTTGCATGGTCAGAATTACAAATGACAGCAATCGACTGTGTGCTTTCTCTCCCGTCTCCTCAGAAATGACACATTGCAATTTTACAGTCTCATGGTTTCTCAGGCGCTGACTGACAGACTGACATTCTGTGAATGTAATGGTTGTTCAACCATTATTCAGGGATAAAAAGAGAGAGAAGTGTTTGTAGCTCCTCCTGCTCGCTCCTGTGACAGGCGTGAGAGGCCTATTAGAAACAAACAGCACTTACACTCCATGCCTTTACAGTTGTGATTAAAAGCCCCCAGCTCTGTTGCTTACTGCCATTACTTAAAGTCCTTCTACAGACAAATCAATGTGAGCATCATCACACTTATCTGCCTGCTGCCTGGCCTTGTTTTTAGGGTGCCGTATATTTAAACTGATAGCAAATTAGCGACAACAAAGGACGATGTAACTCTCTGTCTCTGTTTAGTGTATCTATTTCTGTACTGGGACCTGAAAAAATGTGTACTGCTGTTCCTTTGACACTTGTTTCTTTTCCTTTTTTTAGTGTCTATGCAATAGCTCTGATTCAAAACTAAGTGTGCTGTCTTCTTAGACATATTTTAAGGTAACAAAATATGACATATTTGAATTAATATTTCCCTACTGCTGTTCCAAATGCTAAGAAATAGTGGGGATTTTGATTCATCTGTAATTTGAATGATTTTACTAAAAATATTAATTGAGATTAATTTAATGATTCACTCATTGACCTATTCTATCGATTATATTGATTGTTTTTCTTGCATTTTATCAAATCCATGAATTTATTTCACGAACATGATGCTTCATTCATTGTTGCTCTGGTCGCGTTTAAACCTAATAAGATGAGTTTTTTCGATCCAGTCAACAGTAAACAGGGCCTAAAACGTTTTGAGCTTGTTCATTTTGGACCACTTCCAGAGCTGAAAACACATTAAACCAGATTGATTTTGTTGTGTCTCTCTTATGTGGTCGAATGTGTTCAAATGGGCAAAAAAGGCCTTTTCTGCGTTTTACCAAAACACACGGATTGCAGTCAAAATCACAGCTGCTTTCTTTATCCTTTTTATTCACGTCCTTTCCCGATTGCTCGGGTTTGTTCAGTCAATAGTGTTTCTGCACTGCACTCGTTCAAGATAAACAGAACCCAGTAAACAGAATAGGCCTAGTTGATAAATATTTTATTAAATACAAAAAAGTTTTGAGTAATGTAGTTCTAATCTGATTCACCCCTATGTGTATGTATTTTTTTGGCATATTGATTACCCTTTGTATAACCACAGTTTTACTACAAATACCATGATTAAACCATATACCCTGCTGAAAAAAAAACTGCTAAAACCAGCCTAAGCTGGTTTATGCTCGAAGTAGCTGGTTTTAGCTGGTCTGCCAGCCTGGCCAGGTTGGTCAAGCTTAGGGTGACCATACGTGCCATTTTCCCAGGATGCGTCCTGGCCAGGATTTATATATTGCCTAAAATATCTTATTTTGATGTCATACACCGATCGGTCTGCACACGCAAACAAAGCCAAAACCTAGATATTTTAGGCAATATAGAAATCCTGGCCAGGATGCGTCCTGGGAAAATGGCACGTATGGTCACCCTAGTCAAGCTGGTTTTAGCTGGTTGTTCCAGCTAGTCTCCCACCCTGACCAGCTAAGAAAGTGGCCAAAACCCCTCTAAAACCAGCCTGCTGACCAGCTATGACCAGCCCTGACCAGGCTGGATGACCAGCTAAAACCAGCCAACCAGCTTAGGCTGTTTTTAGCTGTTTCTTTCAACATGCAGCAAAACCATGGTTAGTTTTTGTAAGGGACAACACACTTCTGTGCAGTATTTAAGTGCTGTGTATTTTTAAGCTTATTAGGCAAGGTATTAGCTTAGCAACATGCTAATGTCAGACTCAAGTGAAATTGACTGTAAACAGAAAAGTTGATTATAAATATAGTATATTACCATGGTTTAAATAGTAACCATGTATTTTTGGTTCATTTTTGTAAGGAACAACACACTGTATTTTTAAGCTTATTAAGGCACTAGCTTAGCAGCATGCTAATGCCAGACTTGAATTGACTGTAAACAGAAAAGTCGATTATAAATATAATATTCCACACATAAAGTGTTGAGTAAAAATAGTTCTAATCTGATTCACAACACTATTTCACGAAATATTTGTATCCTATGTATTTTTAAGTTTATCAAGACATTAGCAACATGCTAATGCAAAACTCAAGTGGATTTAACGGTACAAGGAGTAAATATAAATATTTTATAGAATACAGAAAAGTGTTGAATAAAAATTATTACACATCAACCTAATATTTGTGTGTAGGCTATGCTCTGTATTTCTTATTAGACTACTAGACTAGAATTAATTGTTAATTGAGTCTCTGGTGTGCTTCACGTGAGGAATGCTACTTGCTACACAGTTGCTGCCTATATAGAGTGCTCCAAATAAATCACATGAGATTCCATCATGGTTAGAATACAGCCTCAGAAGGCAGCTGCCTATGTAGACAGTAAACAGCATACTCTCTCTCTCTCTCTCTCTCTCTCTCTCTCTCTCTCTCTCTCTCTCTCTCTGGTTTCATCTTCTTTATTGGTCTACATATAATCCTTTTAATCCTCTCAAAACGCTCTTTCTCCCTGTCTTGTTCTTTTCCGATCATATTTTCATTATTCTCTCCAACACAGGAGTGATGGAGATGAAACAGGTGCAGCGGGATCACGCGGCGATGAGAACAGGGGGATTTTCCCACCGAATAATATACACTCTCTGACTGTCTGTGAGGATTTGGACAATATCTCTGCAGTGGCTTTGCGCCAGTCTGAGGGGCAACGAGGGGTTAATTACATACAGCACTGGATGAGGGCAAGGAGCAGAGAAGTACAGGACTAGCGGGAGGCCATTATAGACGGTGGAGGGTGGTTTGCAACGGAGAGAATGAGGGCAGTCTCAGGAATTTTTCATGGGATGTTAAGAGAGGAATTCTGGGGCATTCTCTCCTGACAGCAAGAGAATGATACATGCATATGAATGCATGTGTGAAGCATGGCCATTTTTTATGGCTACAGGGGTGAAAAAAGTGACATATTTCTTTGCAATATAGGTACAATCAGACAGGTGGTAATGTTATAGAGGTGGATGTGAATCATAAATCATGTTTTATGAAGAGTTTGTGGGCAAAAAGAGACTGGACGAGCAAAACAGGAGCAAGGCAGTTTGTTTTTTATTGGTGAAAGCGAGATGACATCAGAAAAATAATAAAAGCACATTAAATTCCAGACTCTCTGACTCGAGCAGTTACTTTGAAGGTATGATGGATGTTTATGCGAGTCATAAAGTGGGCAGGTTTGCATCTCCTGGTTTATATCTACTGTAATGGTGAATCAAACGCATGTTAAACAGAAAGCTTATCACACACACACACACACACACACACACACACACACACACACACACACACACACGCACGCACACACACGCACGCACACAATGTTTGAAGAGCTTCCCATTTACTAATTAAAAAATGGATCTATTCATCTATTTTGTGTTTCTCCCTCATCAGACAGCTTGAGAAAGCGAGTGTGCATGTTTGTGAACATTCTGTCTGATTTCATTCCTGACGCCTCAATATTTCAGGAAAGACAGTAATATTAATTGACAGTACTGTATCTCTTTGCTCTCTCCCTCTCTTTTTCTTGCTTGAATGCAAGAGAAATGGGAGCTTGTGTGGTTTTGTGCTTAGAGACAAAATGTCCTGAAAGCAAATCGAATCTGAGAGACAGACAGAGAGAGAATTTAATTCATTAGAGGCATTTTGTTTGCTCATTTGTGGTGTGAGATAATACATCTGTGTGTGTTCTGTCGGATGTATCTGGGGCATGAAAAATATATTCTATACAAGTACATTAATGTAAATCTTCAAGCTTGTTTTTTACAGTATGTGTTGTTTTATATGCATTAAATATGTCAGTATGCAATTTATAGTGCATTGTAAGTATGTGGTCAGTTCTTTCTTTCAGGTTCATGTACTGAGCAAGGAAGTTTACTGTAGTTAACTGTTAACCTTTATAGCGAGCTGAATAATAACATCTGGTTTATTAGAACTGAAATTTGAAGCCCTTCTTAATCCGTGTATCATTCATTCACTAGTTTTTTGATTTAATATTGAAAGTAGAAAAATGAGAAAACAGCACCTTTTTCGTTTTTTTCATTTTTTTTCCCAAAAAACGGAAAACAAGAATTCAGCTCAATTTTCAGTTTTTCGTTCAGGGGTAGAAAATGAATAAACAGCTTGAGTATTAAAAGTCTACACGTGGGCGGGAATTAAACGCCCCTTTCAGCTGATTGGTCAGCCAAAGATCAAACCGTGCCGTTATCAGTTCTTCCGCAGTTCCGCGAGGCAGAATAATAGTCCTCTGCTGCTGCAGGTGTACGGATTCTTAATGTGTTTATTGCAACTACATTTAATCTTTTTCTCATCAAACAACCAGACAAATAAATGGCTCAACAACTCGTACCGGGGCAGAGTCTAGACAGGGCTTTCTTCTGTGTAGATATAAATTCTATGCTTTTGCATCAGCTGGGCGTGTCAGTATATGACGGCTGTCATAGCCTACCCTGGTCACCCAGTAAGTTTGTTTGTTTAATTAATTAATGAATTAATTACTTTTGAATTAAATATTTTAAACACTAATACAAAAAAGAAAGAAGGCCCATAACATTCATCTGGTCTACACAGAAGAAAGCCCTGTCTAAACTCTGCCCCAGTACGAGTTGTGTCGAGCTATTTATTTGTCTGGTTGTTTGATGCGAAAAAGATTAAATGTAGTTGCAATAAATGCACCAAGAATCTGTACACCTGCAGCAGCGGAGGACTATTATTCTGCCGCGCAGAACTGCGGAAGAACTGATGACAGCACGGTTTGATCTTAAGCTGACCAATCAGCAGAAAGGGGCATTTAATTCCCGCCCATGTGTACAAATCGAATATACAAGCTGTTTATTCATTTTTCGACCCCTGAACGAAAAACGGAAAATTAGGCTGAATTATTGTTTTTCCTTTTTTTGGGGGGGCGGATTCTTCTTGCTCTTGATTGATTTGATGTGTTTCTGCCACAGAAATGAAAGGAGAAGAGTATATTTTCATATGCCATTCGCATGTTTATTCCACAGAAAAGTGTAACATTTTTCAGTTTTTTTGTTTTTGTTTGAAGAATTGTACTTTAAACATTTTTACAAGTTTACAAATTTATTTTAAGAAATGTAAATTATATAAATTTCACGTATATTTAATTTTTAACTACCTTCTTGAGCAGATTTTCATGAATCTGACCTCTGCACGGGGATTTCCTGTATCCAGAGGTTGAATTTATGAGGTTACCGGGCAAAACAGTAGACATGGAGAACTATAAAATGATATTTTGAGATTACTTGGTGTACACAGAGAGTGAGAGTGGGGTCCTAGAGATTTAGCAAATCCAGCTAAAAACAACTGCATCACGTGTAGACAGGATTTAACCTAGACTATGTGAGTGTGTACAAATATGCTTTTCATCATCATGTATGTACTCGGCATGTGTGTGATTGTGTGTGTGTGAAGAATGGCAGGAGGATTACAGACCCTGGGAAAAGCATAGACAGAGACAGGAGGATTTATCTGCTGGAGGGACAGAAATGGAGGGATGAGATGAACGAAGGGAGAGAAAGAGACATTGAAAAAAAGGTCTGGTACCAGCTGGTGGCCAATTAGCAAGAGAGCAGGAGAAACCGGCAGAGAAAGCGAGTGTGTGTGTGTCTGTGGGTACATTAGCGTGAACCGAAGAGGACTATTTCCATTATAACATCTCTATCGAGTAGCACTTGAGTGACAGAAATAGAGAAAAGTGCAGTAAGATTTCTATTCACAGTGTTATCCATGATTTCCAGCTGTTTCTCTGCTCTAATCCTATTCATCTCCACTACCACTGACCCTTTTCATGTTTTTGTTTATGTACAATGGAGTCCAGAAGTCTGAGACCTCAATGAAAAATAGATTTTTTTTTCTGAGCTTAACCTTAAAATAAAATGTAAAAATGATGAAATATTTACAACCCAGAAACATAAAAAATAATAATGAATATAGCTGCAAGCAGCAATTAAGGAGCCAGGCACTACAGAAGCATGCAAGGCTGCGAGCATCAGACCAACTGCAGCAATGAGTAATTGAAGCCAATTTAAGATGATTTTATTCAAAATGTAGTAATATGTGATAGGATTTAATGGTTTATCACTTTGAACAATAGGCGGCGCTGTTACCAAATCGATGTGGTGTGTTCAGTGTGAAATGACAATAGCACACACAAAGTTTGGTGTCAATATATCATAACTTTGCAGTTACAGCCTCAGATTTGTTTATGTGTTAATATTTTAATAACATTTTGTCTATCGAAACGAAATCCATAACTTTTTGCCAGCATGGTCTAAAGAGTTGAATTTGGTGAATATCGGATAACGTTTGAAAAAGTACGTTTTCAAAGAAAAACTAAATGGTGGACAGGAAGCTTGGCTGATTATGGCATAATTTGTATTAATGTTCTCAGCTGCCATAAAACCTTTTTTAGTACCTTCAAGGCATGGTGTTGAAGACACATTCAGAGTTTTGTAACAATACGCCAATGCGTTCGTAAAATATAGCATTTTATGACAAAATTCAAAATAGCCGACGCCCAAAATGGCCAACATGAGAAAATTGGGTGTGGTCTACCCAATCTACAAATACCAGTTTTAAGATTTTTGGCTAATCCGCTCAGAAATTATAAGCAAAAAAGCCATTTTTCATATCTCTCAAACCACTAGATGGCGCTGTGCAGAAACTGTACACTCAGGTCATGGATATTATAACACACACCGAGTTTGGTCTCAATACGCTACAACGTGTTTTTACAACTAATCAGATTTTCTTCTATTGAAGCTCAAGATGTTTTTTGGATCATCCCAAATGATTCAGTTTTTACACATACTGGTGGAGTTCATGCAAATTTAGTGATGTTTCCATAAAGGCGAAAAAGAGACCAAGCAAATACCAATACTAAGACATTCTGCAATTCAGCAGTTTTTCAGATCAACTTTTTAAATTAAATGTTATGCAATGGAAGTTTGGACTCACATGTGCTGTGAAGCATTGGGGAAGGCAGTGGTGTACTGAGGGGCCGCGTCCTCCGGGCCATGAGGGGCGGCGTGACTGATCACCATCATGATGGGTCGGTGAGGGTAGATCTTCTTTGACATGCGGAAGTAACTGATGCTGTCATTGGTTATGAGATCTGTCAGGTAGTCCTACAGGAGGTACAGAGATCTGATCATTAATCTACTAATTTAAAATATTTCAGTCTCAGTTACTCAAAAGTTTATCACGTACACACAAAAAACCCACTCATAAGCAACTTTTCTGTTGTCACAGAGCTTGAATGTCAGCCCCTTAGATGAGACTGATGAACCCTGACAAAAGGCACTGAAATGTGAGAGAGCCAATGAGAGAAAGAGAGTGAGAGACAGACAGAAAAGGGTCTGACTTTGTTATAAATCAGACTAACAAGAATATCAGTCAAACTGTTCAAGAACGGATGAAGATATGAAAAGAAATGAAGAAAGGTGATGCAATTTGAAAAGACGAGGTTCCACTTGATTGGCCACCTTGCACACACACCTTTGAGTATTCAAATCCATGTTTCTCTCGGACACCGTTCCTGCACAGAGTGTAGTTGTAGAAGCGGGAATTCTTCACCATGGCGACCCATTCCTTCCAGCCCGGAGGAATGTAAGTACCATTATACTCATTCAGATACTTCCCAAAGAATGCTGAGAAAACACAAACACAAAAGGGTATAGTTATCATAAAGAAAATAGAGTGTAGAAGAGAGCAAAGTAGAGCATAGAGCAGTATAATAAAATACAGCAGTGTAGAGTTCACTGTAAAAAATCAAAAGTTGAGAAAACTTAAAAGTTTAAGGCAACCAGGTTCAGGAGATGAATGGAGTTCAATAGAGTATAGTACAACAGAATAGAGCAAAACAGCATATAACAGAGCAGAGGTAAAGTTGTGGTAAAGTCGAGTAGAGCAGAACAAAGTAGAATAGAGTATAGTATAATAAAGTATTTTAGAATGTTAGTATAAAATAGTATGTAAAACATATAAGTAGAAAACCATATTGTACAGTTGAACAGAGCAGAACAGAATAGAACACAGAAGAATAGAATGAGGTAGAGCAGAAAAACAGTAAAACAGAGTAGAGTAGATAATTCAATAGAGTAAAGTAAAACAATAGAGTAAAACAGAGGAGAATATGGTAGAGTAGAAGTACGGTAAAGTATGGTAGAGTACAGCAGAGTAGAATGCATTATTGTAGAAAAGCGTGTGGAACAGAATAGAGCAAAATAAAGCTGAGCAGAGTAAAGCAGAGCAAAGCACAGCACAGTAGAGTCTGGTAGAATAGAGCTTAGCAAAGTAGAACAGAGTAGAGTAGAATTGTGTATTGGTATAGTTGAGTAGAGATAAACAAAATGGAGAAGAATATGGCAAAACAGAGTAGAACAGAATAGAGTAGAATAGAATAGAACAGAATAGAATATGGAGAAGATCAGAGTAAGGAAGAGCAGCATAGAGTACAGTAGGTATGATAAATAGTCTAGAAGAGTAGAATTGAGCAGTGTAGGACTCTGTAGAGTACAATAAAGTAGTGTAAACTTTTTATACTAAAAATACATTGCACATTTAAAATACAGTGGGCATATAGACAGAACCTGCATGTAGAGAAATAGAAGACAGGGAGCTAAGTGAAGATGGATGATTAGTTGTGTTGGAAATGTTACATTAGAGAGGATGTCGGTCAGAGCCGGTCTCTCTCCTAGAGGAAGTGTGCTCTAATGGATCACTGTTACCACTAAAAACCTGACTCACTGCCATGTGTGTGTGTGTGCAGGCACAACATTCACAGCTGGTCATGCCATGTTTACATGCACATGGTAGTTTTGCCTGATGTCTATGTCAGAAACAGAAAACATGCTCAAAATCTCGCATGAATCTGGCGTGCACACACACACAGATACACACACACACACACACACAAAACCATCTATTACAGCCCAAAGGTCTTTAGTTTAATGAAAATCATCTGTTGAAGACAGATTATGTCAATGTTCGTTCAAGAGTCTGTGAGAGTGTGTTTGACAGTGTGTGTGTGACCTGGGGGCCTGTCACACTGAATCTCTGGTGAGAGTGTGTCAAAAACCCAACAGACACAACTCTGACTAATGAAACAGCTCACAAATGAATGAGAGCTTAATCTATTAAATGAATTTTACATTCATGTCAGGTTGTTATTGTAAGGAAGAGTTATGCACCATAATGCTTTGGTGTCTATCCAGAGTTTTTCAGATGGAAATCATCAAAGGCTATGAGGATATGAAAGTGTGATCTTAGAGCCACAGCTGCTACACTCTGATTAGGCTTTAATCTAGTCCAACAATGAAGTTTACGCTATAAAGATATAAAGTACTCAACTTCGATACACTACTCTACTTTAGGCTACTCTATTTCATTCCACTCTGCTTTTGTCTACGGTACTCTATTCTACTCTATTTTAGTATAGGCTACTCAAATGTATTCTACTCTACTTTATTCTACTCTAGACTATGTTAGTGTACTTTAATCTACTCCACATTGTTCTACTCTAGCCTACTCATCTGTATGTTATTCTCCTCTATTTTAGTCAAGCCTACTCGAGTCTATTTTATTCTACTTTATGTTAGTCTGGTCTACTCTGCATTAATTAACTTTTCTCAAGTCTATGTCACTCTATTCTGCTCTATTTTGGTAGAAGCTATTTTAATTTATTTTATTTTAATCTACTTTACATTTTTATACACTAGTCTTTGCATCTTGAGGCTATTCTCCTTCACTTTAGTCTAGTCTACTCAACTCTATTCTACTCTACTTTAGTATGTGCTATTCTACTTTAATCTATTCTACATTATTCTATTGATCATTAAGCTCTTGTCTTTCCCTTTATTCAAGTCTACTCAACTCTACTCAAATATATACTACTCTACTTCAATCTAGTCTACATTATTCTACTAATCTCTACACTATTCTACTTTATTCTAGTCCACTTAACTCTATTCCACTCTACTTCAGTATATGCCACTCTACTTCCATCTAGTCTACATTATTCTACTAATCTCTAGACTATTCAACTTTACTTTAGTATAGTCTACTCAACTCAATTTTATTCTGCACTATTTTAGTCTAGTCCTCTGCTTTAATAAACTTTTCTCAAGTCAATGTTACTATATTCTGCTCTGTTAGTATAAGCTACTTTAATTTATTCTACTCTACATTATACTCTCGTCTACACATCTGAAGGCTATTCACCTTTACTTTAGTATAGTCTACTTAACTCTATTCTACTCCACTTCAGTCGATGCTACTCTACTTCAGTCTACATTATTCTACTCATTTCTAGGCTATTTTCCTTTACTATAGTCTACTATTCTGAACTCTATTCTACTCTTCTTCAGCCAATATTACTCTACTTTAGTCTACAATTTTCTACTTATCTCTAGGCTATTTTCCTTTAGTCTACTCAACTCTGTTGTACAGTCTGTGCTACTGTCTTTTAATCTACTCTACTCATCTCTAGGCTATTCTCCTACTTTACTCTACTCTACTCTGTTTTAGTCTACACTATTCTATGCTGAATCCACAGCTCTACTACACTCTACACTACTGTACTCCACTCTACTTTACTCTATATCATGCGACAATCACACAGCAGTTTAACCAAGTAATCCTTCCAGTGTGTGTTTGTGAATGATCTCCACCTGTCCTGTAGCCAGTGCTGTTTAGGTAAACTCCAAAAGTGCGCGGCTCATGTTGGGCCTGCCAGGAGGGCGAAGAGCAGTTCTCGTTGTTGGTGTAGGTGTTGTGGTTGTGGGCGTACTTCCCCGTCAGCATGGAGGAGCGTGACGGACAGCACATGGGCGTGGTGACAAACGCGTTGGAAAAGTGCGTTCCACCCTGTTCCATGATCCGCCGGGTCTTATTCATGACCTGCATGGAGCCTGGATGAGAGAGATAGTGAAAGAAAATCTATCATACTGTATATTACTCAAGGTGACAAAGTCTGCTCTACCGATTGCTGTACTTCAAAGAGAACTGGCTTCTACTTTTTCTCTTCCTCTACACAACACTAGACATCGACAGGATAAAGATATCAGTTCTTTCATTTATACTGTTTGTGACATCTCAGCCTTTAAGAGGAAATGTATTGGTTGTTTGCAACCTGGGAATTCATGTGACACCAGCAGTGTGTGTGTGTGTGTGTGCATGAATATGTATGTTTAGAGATATATGATAGTCTATATATTCACAAGTCACACACTATTTATTAAAAGTCTCAATTACAGTATATATTTTTCAAAACCCCTTTTCCTCAGCATTTATTCGACCTTGTCTTGCTCAAATAAACACACACACACACACACACACACACATACACACACACACGTTTATTTAAATGTAAATGAGGACAAACCATGAACTTCTATTGTTTTTACACTACCATTCAAAGGTTTGGAGTCAGTAAGATTTATTTATTTATTTAATTTAGCAAGGATGCATTAAATCAAAGGTGTACAGGAAATTATATTTTGAATGAATGCTGATCTTTTGAACATTCTATTGATCAAAGAACCCTAATATTTTCAAACAGAAAAGAGTTCTATAGATAAGAGTTCTTTTCAATTATGATGATATTGAACAATATTACAGTTTCCACCAAAAAAAGCAGCACAACTGTTTTCAACACTGATAATATTATCTTTCTTGAGCAACAAATCAGCATATTATAATGATTTCTGAAGAATCATGTGACAATGCAGACTAGAGTAATGATGCTGAAAATTTAGCTTTGTATCACAGTAATAAATGAATATTTTTACTGTATTTTTGATCAAATAAATACAGCCTTGGTGAGCATAAGAGACTGCAAAAAGCCAATTTTGCATTTTACAATTTCCAGTTTTAAAAATGCCCATTAATTATTATTTTTTTTATAACTTATGGGAACAAAGCTAAGTGAACCCACACAACCTACACCCTGATTGGCTCAATTGATATGATCAGAGACAGGAAGTCTAGTTCACGTTGGCCTTTTCAGACAGGATCACCACACCTCTACAGATTCATGCAGAAAGGTCAGCACAAACAAACGTATACACTGCAAAAATACTCTCTGCACTTTACACACAAAGGTCAGTATGGATGGACAATACTGTATAAATCAGCATTCACCCAGACAAACACTCAAGAGGAAACGAGATGAGACAAAGACAGTCATCTCTCTGCCACATCCATAATTACAGCTTACACACGCATGTGTGTGTGCATATAAAATCAACACTGTCCCGTGCTGAGAGGAGTGGGGACTTTCCTTCCTAATTGAATCATTGTCTTCCGCTCTGACAAAGCCCAAGATGTCTTTTTTTCACCACATAGAGACAGCCTGTAAAAAATAAATGAGCTCTCACACACACGAACACATTCAACACAAGCAAAGGCTCTTTCAGCATTAGTTCCATCTTGTAGCTGTAACCCTTTTTAGACTGAGAGATCTTATTTGCTAAAACCATTAGAGATTCTAAAGAACTGCTTTGTTTTAGGAGCAAATGACGTGACTGTGATTTTTGTTTAAAAAAAGTGGTTAGCTCAGATTATACTGGTTAAATACATTGAATCAACTAAAGGGGTAGAAATACACTACCGTACACTACCTTTTAAAATGTTTTTGAAAGAAGTATTTTAAGCTGCATTTATTCAGATCAAAAATTAAATAAAAAACACTAATATTTTGAAATATTTTTACAATTTTAAATAACTGTTTTCTATTTCAATATATTTTAAAATGTAATTTATTTCTGTGATGCAAAGCTGAATTTTCAGCATCATTACTCCAGTCTTCAGTGTCACACGATCATTCAGAAATCATTCTAATATGCTGATTTGCTGCTCAAGAAACAGTTCTTATTAAGAATACAAATTCAAAAGAATGGCATTTATTTGAAAGTATTTACTTCTAACATTATGAACGTCTGTACTGTCACTTTTGATCTGAATCCTTGCTGAATAAAAGCATTACTTTCTTTTGTAAAGTAGTGTATATTTAAATAATCTAAAATCTGATTGGATAAGCTCTCATTGGAATCAGTGGATGATTTGATAGTCTTGAAAACTGGTGTCTTTTATCATATTGCGGTTGCCATGTAAAGCATGTCATCAGCATTCCAGTGCATGCTGTGCCTAACAACATCCCTGAAACATTTGAAAATCACTCTAACATATGGACTCTCACAGCTTATTGTTTTATTTTGTCTCCAAAAACCCAGGGATGCTGAAGTTTCTCTTTGAGGTGGCTTGTCATAAATTATTCTAAAGGTATCTGAGTTTTTCCACTCACCCAATTCAATGTCCTGGTCATCGGTGAGGATGAGGATGATGTTGGGGCGGATGTTGCGCCGGTCTCGCTGGAACCGAGGTTTCAGTCTCTGATTGGACTGGAAGACGGAGGCATGAGCCACCGCCAAGACGGCCAGCAGCACCAAGAGCCAGGCCGCCAGCCCCTGTGTCGCCATCTCAGGGTTTCGCCAGGGAGATCTTATTTATGGTAAATTATTAATGACCTTAATTGTTATAGCCGTAAGTTAGGCCTATATATAAATATGCAGCTTCTCTTGCACTTAAAATATTACATGAAATGTAGGCTACAACATGACCTGGACGCAAAGATAAACTCAACATAAGGAGTCAGCTAACAAAGTCCAAAATATGGTATGCAGAAGTGCCACTGGCTGCATGGTACTGTTTGCTGGTACTATTTGTGCAAAACAGGATTCAGATTCAGAAAAGGTAGAGAAAAAGATAAGATATTGGATATAATGACAGAGATGAGATGCACACTTTAACTATAATGCCACATTTTTACAGACACCTGCTGGACTGATTTAATAATCTGACATTTATTAGTGTTCTGCTCTAAAGTCTGAGTGGAAATGTTCCTCTTTCACACTGTACAGTGAAGAACAAAAATGCACTGTATGTACAAGTTCACTGCAATGTTATGACAAGAACGTAGTTAAGGTCACCATAAAAACCTGTTTCCACCATAAAAGAGAAAAAATTAAAGACAGAAATGAGATACAAAGTCATGAGATGAAATGTTGAAATTGACAAAAAAGTTAAATTATGTCATAATTATGACATTTTGCAATTTTGTCATAATAAAGACATTTTAATGTTATAGTTATTGCTATTTATCTTAAATTCAATTTAATGGCATAACTACACCTTTTTATGTTGAAATTTTGACTTGTCATAATTCCGACTTTTTGTCAACTATACCTTTTTTTGTCGTAATTCTGATTTTTTTTTTGTCTCAGTTTTGACATGTTATAATTTAACATTTTTATGATGACTTTTTTGTATAATTTCTTTTCTCCTAATTTTGACTTTTTATGTTATAATTTTACTAGTTTTATACTCATTTTATAATTTTAGCATGATATTTTTTGGCATTTTAATCACAAAATCTGAGATTTTCACAGCAAACTTTACCGTATTTTTGGTTGGTTCTGAGCGCTACTTTTCTAGAAAAAAAATGTACACCATGCATACCAGCATCTGGATATATGTAGTTATAATGCTCTACTTTATGAATATTTTGATAAATAACTGCTTTTATAATAAATAGAAAATGCATACAAACTCCAAAAATAAAATCCACATAACCATGGGCATCAGTACTGATTTATATATGTAATGACAATAGTGAATCAGACACGTTTTTGCACTTGCAAAGTGTCTGTTCAGTGTATTTGCCCCCCAAAAATCTCATTTGGGTCCTCGGCGGAGAGTTTATAAGTTTAAAAAGCTCTGCCCTACAACTCAACCCAAGTTAAATCAAACCATTGCCTTTCCACAAGGAGAGATGATGAATCGTGCTTGGAATAAGCTGCCTCTCTCATTGAGTTTATATTATGGTTGCCATCTAATTTGAACCCAGTGAATTAGGGTCTTCACACACACACACACACACACACACACACACACACACATGCAGTGTCTAGGGTAAGGATTTTATTGATGCACAATGCTGTTTCATGCACTGTAATCATTTCTTGAGCATGAATAATTTAATAGGATGGAATCCCCTTCTCAGCTGCTAATCTGTGCTGGAAAATAAAACCCCACCCACTGCTACCCACCATGAGCTAAATACACACACCACGCACACAGCAGGGACTAATCTCAAACCAGGGGAGAAACTGGAGAGCATAAACAAGTGGAGGAGAGCCAGAGAGCGATGTCACATCTTTGAGTCAAAGAGCAAATCCATGCTGAGAACATCACTTTCACTGAATTATCACACACTGCGACTCTTTAATATTGTAATACTCCTCTTTGTGAAATTCAAAGCAGCTCATGTCGCTTGTTTCTCATTCTGCTACGCTGTGGTTGTTGCTATCTAGGTGCACAGAGTAGGAACTGACAATCATGCTGTCGCCATATAAATATAATATTTAGTCGCTTTATTATAGTGATGTACCTAAGTTAAAATTCTGGCTTCTATGGTATTAATTGTTACTTTCTAGTTAATATTTCTGATATTAAAATTGTATACTATTTTGTTCAAATAAAAATACCTGTAAATAAATAAAATAAAACATTATGTATTTTAACTTTTTAAGTTTTAAAAATAATTATAATTATGTTATAATTAAGCATTATAATGTACAGTATGAAAAACTGATTCTGAGATGTAATATTCTGTTGGATATTTTGAGATTTGATTAAGATTATATTTAACCGTATGATTAAATTATTGTTTTTAAATTGTTTTAATAATTAACTTTGAATGAATGTTAGATAATGGCAAATGCAATCTAAATATAAATGTTTAGGATTACATTTAGTGATTATGACAAAAAGTCACAATTATGAGATACTAAGTCATAATCATGAGATAAAAAAAGTCAAAATTACGACAAAACAAAAAAAAAATGAAATTATGAGATAAGTCATAAATATGACCATAAATATAAAGTCATCATGACTTTTTCAATGATGAATTATGACTTTATCTCATAAATTTCACTAAATATTAAATAAATTTTAATCTCATAAATGTATTTTTTGTCATAATTTTGACTTTTTGGATTTTTTTGGCCATAATTTCAAATTTCTGTAATAATTTCGACTTTGAATGCCAATTAAAAACAACTTTTTAGTACAATTTCTTTTCACATAATTCTGACTTTTTATGCAAAGCAAGATTTTTGTTCTTACATGGCAGAAATTGGCTTTCAAAGGTAACATTAGTACAAAGTGGCCACAAAATCATTTACACAGCTGAAATTTACAGGGCAAATACATCTAAATATATATAATGAGCATAGACAATGAAATATCCAATTCTGATTTACTTATACCAAAAAATTATATATATATATAAAATATTTCATGCATTCCGACCTAATTTAATATAAAAAAATGCAATAAAATTAATCATATGCTAAGCAGTGCAGATAACACCTGATTTAAACTGGATTGTGGGAGGCTTGTGAACAAGACACAGGTTTTTGCGCGGAAATAACGCATAATTAAGAGGCACACTGTGTGATGTATTCACCCCAGACCGTTTTTACATGTACCAGTTCTCATCCAAAACACAACATACAGATGTCAGTCTGTGCTAATTCAAACTAAATCATGGAACAGACGAAACTAACAGCTTTGCTGCTTTGACACACAGATGGCAGAATTGGATTTATTTTCTTAATTACCCTTCAACACAGAACTACATGACAGACTGTACTTTCAAAAGTTAGTGGACCCTGAAGGAGAAGAACAAATTATCACCTTTAATTTGATAATGCCAAAGGGTAAATCACTCATTAACTATCCCTATATACATCAACCTGCATAAATCTCCAAAAAGACAGTAGGCTCCAAAAAAGTTCACATTGAAGAAACTCAATTCAAAGCTGGAAATAAAATGATGACATAAAATGATTAAGAAATATTTCAGATTCTATTTCTAGATTACTAATCATATAATTACATTTGTGACATTGATCATATAATGGTCAGATGTTCTTCTATTGAAGCTTCTATATTAATCTTTGGATCTTTGGATCAAATCATGGTGGAGAACAAGACCATCTGGTTTCACAAAAACTTGTGGAGTCGAGCGCTGCTGCCATTAAAGCAAAAGAGTGACATACGTACTAATTATTAACATTCTGATATTCACATTATTTTACATTCAACTTTTCACGGTCATGCTAAAATTAAATCGAATTCAATTTCAGAATGCATAATCAACCAGTTTCCACAAGTGGTCTCAGATCACTGCAAATCAATCTGTACAAATGACACTTGTAGTATTCGTGTCTTTAATGTCAGTTGACTTAGTTTTGAGGATACCGGGAGCATTTTCATGCCAAGACAGCTGTGCGCCTCAAGGAAAGCATTTAAAAAAGAAAACAGATACCAGTCTCTGAGGAGACAAATCACAAACCCATTTAACCCTTCGAGACATTAATACAGCCATTAATACATTAAAAGCCATCTCTATTCAAAACTCTCCGAATCCACAACCTTATTCATGTGCACCAAAACATTGCAAAAAATGCATTTCCTGTCAAAGACAATCATGCAGAACTTGTAAAATAATGTTATTCTTCGCATAACCAATAGCGTATTGACGAAAAGACATGTCTTTGATGAAACGCTCACTCTTTGGTGCTCTGCATGCTAGCGTACCGATCGGAAAGAGCCTTTAGCACCTCGAGAACGGCCAGCAGAGGAAGAGCCAATTTATTTCTGTTACATTTCTGTTATATTTATGGAAAGTCACAACGACATTTGGCAGATTGGACCAGGCTGGTCAAGGTCAACAGAATATAACTGTACTCCGAATGACAGCATAGCATGATTTTTAATAGATTCTGGGAAATTATAAAGCACATGATAGAGTCTAATAGGTAGCTTGCGTTCGGTCATTACGGTTTTTCTATTTTCGCTCTACGTGATCTGTGTCTCTCTTATTTTACCACACAGATCAAATTAGCGCGAGGAACGTCCAGCTGACATGACTGACCCTTACATGTGTATTCGGAGTAAGATTCATAAGATGAATCAAAGAAGGTTCTCAGGTTGAATCACAAAAGGACTTTACGTTTATTATTTTTCCTGTGGCGAAGACTGATACTATTGCAAACCATTTCAGTTTCAAACACTCTCATTCCCTTCCCTTGACTTTCCGTACATTATACTGTACACTTTATCTGCGTTCCTAGAGATTTCACACTTATGGCTGCTTTTGTCCGAAACACAATATACGGTTACCCAGCTCATAGCCACTAGAGAGAGAAAGACTGAGACAGTCTCTTTTACTGCCAGTCTTCACAGGAACTGTAAAGACAGGGGCTTTACTCGAAGATTATATACAAAAGAACAGGATATACTGAACACTGCTATTACTGTTTGAACAGAGACTTTTGAAGCATTTACTCTACCATTAACAAAAAAAAAAGTAAAAATAAAGTGCGAGAGGATGTGCAGTTTACTGAGA